TCTCTCTCTCTCTCTCTCTCTCTCTCTCTCTCTCTCACTCACTCTTTCTTGCTCTCACTGCTTCCCTGCCGATTGGATCATGTGGAGAAATATGGGATGGGCAGACATGAGAAGAGGGCGTGCTCTTCGCCGGGGAGTGATGAGGAGGGGGTGGAGGGGAGGGCAGCTTGTCGATGCGCCGGAGGCCCTCAAAATTGTTGCAAGCCAACTCGCTGACATCATCGTGCCCATCCAAACTCATCGTGCAGTAGGCTGGGGACCTAAACGCGCGGGCAGGCCAAGCCGGGCCCAGCAGCCTTCGAGGACTCACAATGCCGTCACATCAATAGGGTGCCCGCAAACAAGAACAATCGTTACAACAACAGTAATCGGAGATGGTCGGGAATTTCCATTTTCCTCATAGCTTTCTCGAAGGGAACCACTTCTTGATGAAGGTCACTTCCTCGTGACGTAGGCGTACCCTGAGAGGGCTGGCAGGTCAATTTGAGGGAGAAAGGCTTCGAAGACCCCCTCTGTGATTTTGTATTGTGTAGAAATTCAGTAATTGAAATTGCTTAAGTAATTGAAAGTTAACGCTGTCCACCTATACGTTACACACGGATATGGCGCCCCAGAGAACTCTGCGAGAGTGTCGTCTTCACCCTCTCTGTCCCGGTGGGTGTCGCAGCCCGCCGCCCCTTGCCGCCCCCTCTGCCCCCGCCGCCCCCGTCCAGGGTAGGAGGAGGTCCGGCGGGGCCGCAGGGGAGGCTGCAGGCGGTAAGCGTGACGCGGAATGAGAGCCACTTTTCCCGTCGTTGCGTCGGACGACGACACGTAACTTAACGATCGCTCGGGTCCATCGGGGGTTGGGGAGGGGGTGGGGGGGATCTCTGTCAAATCGTCTCCAATCACCAGCCCGGGATCTTTATCTCTCCTCTCCTCCTCCGCGCTCTCCTTCTCCTCTGCCGGAATGGAGCTGTGGGGATGGGCACATCAGCGTCGTGCCTGGTGGGGAGGAGAGGGGGGTAGTTTTCTTGCTCGGTCACCGCGACAAAAGCGTGATGCCGATGTGTTCGGTTAGTTACGATATGAATGGAGGTCAAGGTGCCGCGGCCCATTGATCAGTGTGGTGTGCTGTGTGTCTTTGTCGATGGGGTGTCTCGTCGTGCAAGCGACCTGCTGCAGTAATAACTTAGAAAAATCAGTTAGTACTTCTTTCCAATTTTTTTTTTTTTGTTATGAAACTGATCTGCGTTGTCAATTACCTAACTTATAGTTTTGGAAAGTGAAAGTATCGTCTTCTTTATTTATTTTATTTTTTATTTTTTTTGAAAACATTCGCACGTTTTTTATGATAACGCAATGCTCTTTAAATGAAAGGTAAACTAGAGCGGAAATAATAGCTCAGCTACATTGCAAACGAACTGTACATTGGGAGGTCAATGCTGAAGTTGGTCTGGAGTCACTGTGTGGCTGTTCTCGATGATACACACGACCTGCCAGCTGACCTTTGAACAAATGTAAAATACGTGAGATAGCGCTGGCAGGGCTGCTCCAAGGAGGCGGGTAAGATTGGCTTATGGGTATTATTGTGGTGTGGCGTGGTAGGGGCAGGGATGGGGAGGCCCGGGGCGGGGTGGGCTAACCTTCACCCTCGCAGTTCCTGATGCTGAAGAGCGAATAGATCATTTTACCTCGGGATATATCCCTGACGTGTGTGTGGGAGGAGTGGGAAGGGTTCAAGGAGGACCAACGATAGATTGATGGACTGATTGATCTATATAAGTCATTCTAACGACAAAGATCTCTTCATGATTCTTAGATCTAGATCTAAATCAGCCAATAATGAATAATAGAAGCCAAGACAAGTACAGCTGACGTCTGTGCCCATTGCCAAAGCGCCATTAACGGTCGACACACGCACACACACATACACACACACACACACACAAGGTGTGTTGTGTTGCAGTCAAGTAAGAAAGTAAGTCGAGGACTTGGCGCGAATCGAGGCACTCGTTTTATGGCAATTATTTTGTCTTGTGTCGGACAAGAAAAGAGACAGACAGACAGACAGAGCGCATAGGAGAGCACTGTGGGGGTGGGGCAGGTGTTTGACTGTAAGACCTATCATTAAGTCGAGCAATTAAAAAGTCTTGACCTACTTTAGTAGTTTTTGGGAGTGAAACGACAAGCGTGAAGGCACATGTGGCTTCACGCCTCAGAAGCATAAAATTTGACAATAACATGCCGTACCCTCACTTTTACTTGTCTCCTCGTTAGATAGTTTTCCCGGCCCCTATTCCGGAGGATGAAATAAGAGATCACACAAAGGCGATCCTACGCACTAAATGGTTCTCTCGTTGTCGTGCACTCGTTGCTTACTTGCAGCACGCCTCTTGATATTCACAGGGGGGTTTAGCAACAAGCTGACTGTTTTACTGCCGATATCTTTAAACCTCGCCCTACTGTCCCACGCTGCCAATTCGTCTGGCAAACGTCCACCACGCCCTGGCACTACAAGCGGGTGGGCAGAGCGGCGAACGCGCCGCCTCGCCTCGCACCACTGAGGCACTAACTACCCTGTAACGCCTGGAAAGGTTCTGAGAGAGGTGCGCCCTCCCAAATGGTAGGTGCACTGCTTCAATCGCACCACACACCTGATGGGTACCTGCCATGTACCTGCAAGGTATGTATAAGATGCCTGCACCTGCATGCCTCCCTATGAAACGGTCTGGAATATCTCTACCGTTAAATTAGTGTCCTACGGATTTCGCGATATTTTATTATAGTTAATTGCCGATCAACGATGTCAATACAATCACAATCAACGCAAGTATCCTGTCGCCCCAAATCGTCACATTTCCACCGTCGGCACGTTTCAGACGCACGCACACACATATGTAGTTACCGCAAAAGACGGCGTTAAGTCTGCACAAACAAACCTGTGGTGAGTCGCATGGTGGTGTCGGTGTCGCTGCGGCGAGTCGAGCACTCAGTCCTGGCGGGGTGCAGTCCACGGGCACACACACGTATCGCACTCACGCCCGCGGATCACTCGGACACGAAGTGGCGCGAGCGCCGGCCGCCCGGCGGTTATATACGGCGGAGGGGGAAGGG